TAAATAAAATAGAATAAATAAATAGATATTAAATTACATATTATATTAATTCTTATTAATATGGCAAAATTATTTTTTACTCTTACTTTCTAATCAGTGGAGAAAATTCTGTACTGCCACCAATCAAATGAAACCTGTTTGGCAGAACTTCTGCACAGTGCAATAGTCCAGTTTCGAATTAAAAATTACCGCTGAATACAAACATTAACGACACAATCATACAGGGCTTGCTTCGACATAAAGTAAAATATTCAGAAATTCCGGGAAGTAAGTGTTTGAAATTTGAATACACACAGTAGACAGGGTAATAAAGAGGTGTTTTTCTTGCTGGAATTTGTTAATATATTACTTCAGATGGATCAGGCTAAGCCTGTAAAAAACGCATCTTCACTTCTTTAATTAAGCAGTCACAGCGAACTCGAAACTGGACTATTCATTTTTTATGATTCAACAACAAGGAATTAAAATTTTAAATTTGTTTTTGGCCACTATTAGTAGTGCTTAAGAGTGCAGGGTACTCACCAAGTGCAGCCCGGAATAGAAATGCTTCACCATCTCTACAAAACACATCCCATACTCGAGAGGCAGCATCCAGGGGTAATGACTTGCTAAACAACGTGAATGTCCTGAAAATTAACATACATGAAGATATAAAGATTGATTTATACAAATATATGTAAAAAAATAAAATTCAGACCAACTTCTTAGAACAAATAATAAATTCAAATTTTAATCTAAAATGAACGTACATGTAATAAGAAGGACCAGCTGGCTATTTACGAACGTGATAAAGCGGCTGAACTGGGGAAAACTGGAGAGTAATGGCAGAACTTGAACTTAGACTGACTTTTGAGTCTACGGACGGCAATGTAACAATTTGACCCTTTAGATGCAAAGGTAAATGTACCTCCAATTCTAAAAAGGGGTCATAATTAAGTAATCTATTATTATAGTAATAATAAAGGATAAATGAAGCCCCTTTAAGCAAGTAGTGACTAATATTATATTATTTGCTAAAAGAAAGTAGACGTGATCTTCAGAATTTTAAGATCGGCCTAAATAGCAGAAAAGTACCTGAAAAATTTAGGTATGAGAGGGTTTACACCCTGACCTTGGTGGTAATAGCATGCAGTGCCTTATTTATTTGAACTCATCAAGCCTTACCAATCAATGAGATACATATCAGGTGTGAAGTTCTCTTCTATAAAATGAGTGTGAAGTCTGGGGACAAACTCTTCGAGGAAGATTTCAAAGGCAGCGAAGTATGCAATCATCTACAGAACAACAAGGCAAAAAAATTTAGTTACTAATGGGGAAACAAAATGAAGGGTTAGTGTCAGTTGCCACCAAAGCAGGCTGCGAGTAAGTTTTCATGGAAATCAAGGGATGAAAGAGCAGGCACAGTGAGAGACAGAGAGAGAGAGAGAGTTGAAGGACACCTTAAAAGTCCCGCCAGACACATTGTAGTTAAAATAACAAAGCACTCAATTTAACTATGACATTACCATGGGATGATCAACTCTGAAGAAAGCTAACTGGCAAGGTTTGTTGAGAAGATTTGCGAAACAAATGAATGCGTCAGATGGATCCATATTCAACAACAACACTGCTGCAAGAAATGACATGCCTTGAACCTAAACAAGAGAATAAGGAAAGAATGGTTAGGACTAAATAATTATTTAGAGCAGTCAATCACCTCTTTACAAGCATAACACTGAATTAGGTATTACACTGTACAAAAAGTTCTCTATTAAGTAGTTTGACTTAGCCAGAATTTGAGTCAGCAAGGTAAAACGTACTGAAAATTAAGTCACAGGAAAGGCAAAATAACTTCTAATCTAGTCAGAGAGCAGAGAAAAAATAAGGAGGGAGATCAGAAAGGGAGAAGGAGGCCCTCACCCTCTACCCCACCCCATCTCTGTTCTTCATGCTTACATCTTTTTGTGCCCTCCTCACAATTGATATCTGAACACCTGGAACAAGCTAAATAGCTTTGAGTAGGTGGGGAGATTGAGTTAAGGATTCTATAATTAACCTATAAGACAGAACAACTTACATAGCCAACATCAGGTCGATAGCAGGTGTAAGCTCCCAGAATGCTGTGAAGAACATCGTGGAATGGACCACCCTAACGCAAAACAACAATCTGATGTCACCTTATCACCATTCATACATGTTGATCATATTAAACACCAGTGACAACCTGAGACTAGCAGATCAAANCCCTCCTCACAATTGATATCTGAACACCTGGAACAAGCTAAATAGCTTTGAGTAGGTGGGGAGATTGAGTTAAGGATTCTATAATTAACCTATAAGACAGAACAACTTACATAGCCAACATCAGGTCGATAGCAGGTGTAAGCTCCCAGAATGCTGTGAAGAACATCGTGGAATGGACCACCCTAACGCAAAACAACAATCTGATGTCACCTTATCACCATTCATACATGTTGATCATATTAAACACCAGTGACAACCTGAGACTAGCAGATCAAATGGAAAATTAAATATCAAAGTATACATGTAAAAGTTAGAAATTATATCTTTTGTGTGGCCACTATGCACATAGTACCTTTTTAAAAATATTTTTAGTGCAAACTGTGCAGGCTTAACACTATAACTACGCTGGCATTCATTTTCGTTACTTTTATTCTAATTATTAGCATAGTAAAGCTAAGACAAAAGTTCTCAGTAAATGGGTTTGTTTTTTAAAGCTACACTACTCTGTACTCGGCATTGCCTCCTTATGCATAATATTATTCCTTTGCCACAGTTTAATGCGACAGAGATATACTGTAAAGGTCTTAAAGAGAAACAGCTAACATTTTCAAGGAGTGTTTGAAATGGCTGACTATAGTGTTACAACTATAGATAAAGTTATAAATAGTGTGGTATTATCACCAATAGTTTGTATTGTTTTAAGCTGAGGAGACTTAAGATGAGAAGAAAATGAGTGGAAAATTTACCTCCTGGAAAATACAAAGTGAAGGGAATGTTCGTGACACATCCATCATGATAAGCTCAACTGTGTGAGCTTTGCTGACAACAGGGTGATCACTGGCTGGCAGCTCTGCAACAGTCTGAGTCTGGTTTTTCTTCTTGTTTAGCCTTGTTGTGAATAGCTTTTCATATGCATGAGATTGAAAGATGTCGAATAATTCTGCAACAGGAGAAGTGAAAACCTGAATTAGCAGTCAAAAGTCTTGGTTCATTTCACTAAAAGAATTAAAATAACTTCAACACTTGCAAGTACAATACACACAGGTACAATATACAACTATTACCTTTTGAGTGCATTGTAAAGGATGTTATTAAAGAATTAATGCTTTAGAACAACCTGAAATTGATTTACTCTAATTTTTAATACACTGGTAACATACCCTGAGTAATGTGTAGGTCATTTCCGATAGCAAGTTTCCAGACCTTTCCACGTACACTTGGAGGAAGACCTTGCCACCAAAGCTCTCTTGCCTTCTTCGAGTGCCGCCTATAAATGAAAGAGGGTAGGGGAAAAAAAATCACAACTACTCATTGCTCTGCAATGCACTTGCACCAAACAAAAATTATTTCTTTTCTGTTTTAGAGCAGTAACTGACCAAAATTCCCTCTGCATGAGCATTTTACATGTCTACATTTTTGTAAAGTTTCTCTGTTGTTCTCTGCAAAAGCACTTGGATGATCAACAATATTATTTCAGGTCTTTATTAAACTTGGAGGACTACAAATTCACCTCTCCGACAATTCAGTCTACACTCATTTAAAACTAGTGTACCAGTATCTAACATTTCTGAGAAATACCTTAGCAACTTCTTTGAACCGAAAAACACAATAGTGAAAAAAAAAAAACAGTAAATAGCTTGTAAACAAAAGAATAAAAGAGAACTTACATAGTGTCAAAGTTGGGCAAAATCTCATTTGCCCATAAAGAGACTGCAGACACAATTCCATCCTCCTGTTTACACTTTTCTCTAAGTTTCTGTTCCTGACGCTTCATGTCTCTTAATTCTATGACAGCAAAGAAATAACAAAAAAGAAAAGCTATTGAGTACATGAAAAAAAGAAAAAAGACTAATTTTTACAATAAGATTTCACTTCAAAATGCCTACACAATAATTTCTGGAACATTGAGCTTTGACCGTTGCCAAAAGAACAATATCCTCAAGTTCAAGTTTATTATTCTTTATTCCAAATCAATGTTGATCACATAATCTAAAACTGTAATGAATTGTTTGCATTTTTTTCCTACAACTACATGAGGAACAGACACTTCTATACGACAGACACCTAAAGTCAGTCTCTGCCTTTCTTTACATAAAAATTGTAAAAATAATTATTTTTTAGTCTCTTTATTTGTCTCTCTACAAGATGGACACCTCTCTAAGACAGACACTTGGTACACTGTACTGGCTCCAAAGGTGTCTGTCTTAGAGAGAGCTGACTGTAGTTTTATTTTCACCTTTTTTCTTTGCCTCAGCCACCATTGCTTCATATTGTTTTCTGTGCTTTTTCTCCTCAGCTGCTGATTTAGCTGGGAGGTTGCTGCAATTGGGTATAACAGAAATAATCATCAAAAATAACTATTTTCACCCAAAGAGGACATTTTACTTAAAATAATTTTTGACAAGGAAGCAATAGTCAGCGCTTCTAAAGTGGCCCGGAGGTTCTGTCATTAAGGACTGTATTCCATAACAACTGTTACAGCTGTACATTGTACGACTGAGCTCACTTGATGTAATACAATATGTGTATTGTGTATGTATAACAGTATTATTCCACGAGTGTGCGGTTGATATGAGACAGCAGATAGCCAACAACGCGCTGTTGGCTGTAATCATCTCATATCCAACAAGTGCATGTGGAATAATTGCTTTATTAAAAATCTCACAAAATATTGAGAATTCTTCCTGATTTTTTTGGTAAAAAAACCCTGATTTTCAGCTTGTTTTTTATTTTGAGCAGACGGATACAGTTACCATATTTGGAAAGCATGGTATAATGGCTCATATACCATGATGGCTAAGCCAATCAGAGCTCTAAAATTGCATTATCCAATGATTCAGTTTTTAATAATAATTATAGTATAAACGTAACCTGAGTGATGATAGAAAGGGATTTCTGCATGTAGAATTGTCAATGTCATTCTTTTAAACCCAAGTCTCATGTGTAGCTGAGAAGTTAGAACACCGGACTTGAAAACCAGAGGTCCTGAGTTCAAGCCTCTAGCCAGCTGGTCTCCTGCTCTTAGTTGGGATTCACAGCCCCATAAGGGAGAGGATAATTTTTTAAATTAAACAAGAACGCTCTTAGTAGCGTTGAGTCTCGCTTGCTTGGAGACGCGTATTAATGTCAAAGGCCCCGGTGCCGTTATACTACTTTTTCGTTTGGAATACAAAACGAGTGTGGTATGTCATAATGTATATACTCAAAAAGTAAAAATTGCAAGGAGAGACAGACTGCACATCTTAGCCTCAAACCGGTGTGAAACCTGTGAAAACCTTCTACATATTGATATTGCTCCATTGAGGAGTACTCTTTCAGGGATTCTACACTCGAAAACTTGAACGATGATTTTTTTCGGTATCAGGGGCCCATGACAATGTCAGTATAAATATACATAGCTTCTTTGTACCGGACCAAGATACGGCTCGGTACAGTATATGTTCAGCACAGGAAAAAGTGTAAGTTGAACAGAACCTTATACAACACACAGTAAATACAGTTCGCGCGCATTCCTGCTGAATTTGTTGTCCGTTTTATAAGATATCAATATCGCATGAAAGTAATGACATTTTCCATAGCTACTTAGTATCTACTTTTAATATCTCCCTACAGTCTCAGAGTACAATGTTTAGAGTTGTACACAGCATGCATTTTAGATAGATAGATAGATAGATAGATAGATAGATAGATAGATAGGTAGGTAGGTAGGTAGGTAGGTAGGTGGGTAGGTAAGAACCTTAGTTTATGGTACGATAAAAAGATCAGCATTGCTGGTGGGGTCGTGCATACAACAATTACAAGAAAAATAAGGAGTACTGAAAGCAAATGTACACTTTATCAAAGAAAGCCTATCGTCAGCTCGTGGGAACATTGTTTAGAAAATGATCAAATGGTTATCAACTCTGGTTTTCCCACAGTAAATTGTAGGAAATGATAGAAATTCAGATTGTTTATCCATGTACAATATATTTAATTTACTATCTTTGCTCTGCAAACATAATACTTTTCTTTTTGTTTATTGCATTTTATTAAATAACGGTTATTTAGGTACATATTTATAAAAAAACAAAAAAACAAATAAGCAAACAAAACAAGCCAAAAACGGGAAAAAAAGAAAGAAAGAAGATTAAAAAAGAACGGTACAAAGCAGGACTTGAACCCCGGAACCTTCGGCCGTATGCGACTTTACTTTACCACTACACCACGAAGGCTGATTACATCACTCTGGCGAAACTCTTTAACTTAATGCGTTATCTATGGAACTTCCGCCAGGAAATTCGTTCAGTATGATCGAGCCGCATTAACCGAGCTATTGACAATGAAGAAACAATGTCAACGCATTTCATGGCAACGAATGAACAAAATAACATGTGCTTGACAAAGCCGATACACTTCGTCAACGAAGTAGGAGGCAAAACATATGTTTTCTTATCTCGATTTCTGCTGTTATTTTGAAGCTAATGGTCAAAATGACATCCATTTTCGGCCCATACAGGTTATTAAGAATAGCATGGCATGACCTTTGCTTACTTTCAGATCACTTTCCAGCAAGCTGGAATTTGTATATCCCCCGTGATCTTTCGGAGTCAGAAGAGTAATTGCTCATTTTCTCGTCAAGTCTAACGCCTGGACGAGTCAAAGGCTCTTGAAATCCAATCCCCAAGTTAACCATCGTACTCATTTGAAAGACTCCTGCGTGTCTTAAATTTGGTAAGACCTCTAACCGTGCTGTAGAAAATTTGCCATAAAGAAACCTCTGAGTCTGAGCAGCGAACGCCGAACGATGCACGCTCTCAGCGAAGAATTTGATCCCACCGAACTTCAAGAGCGCATGCTTCTTCGGAAACGATAGATCTTCGCACTCTCGAGTTCGGACCCGATTAATTACGAAGTCCGTCTTCTACGAGTGAGCGAGTGACTCATTTGCATATCTCTGTCCCTGCAATAACTCGTGGTACGCTCGCGCGTCCCCACGAGTTAAAAATTAAAAACTGTTAAAAGTTTTTTCTTGTATTACAGTATCACCAGGATAAAGCGTTTCATTTTCCCGGAAAATTTCACCTTCTCGTCAAAACAATCACTGACTCAGACAGACTCGGATTAGTTTACTTGAATTTAGCGTTCAGTACAGCGAACGGGGTTATGTTCTCTGAAATTTATCTACAGTCTGCGGCCCACATCATCACTGATCCACGACTTATTTTTTTATTTTATTTTCAAGTTCTTTTTTTAACCGATCCTTGATCCCTGATTTCTCGATCCTCGATCCTCGATCCTGATTTTCCAGTGAACCTTGAAGTTTTGCTCATTAAGATTATTCTTTTTTTTTCGACCACTGAAGTGATCAGTTGTTCCAAAATAATCAGCGCTTTCAAGCCATAGAATTCTTGGACCAACCCGTTCCGGAAAAGCTCAATATGGGATTTCTATCAACTATGGACATGAAGTGCTGTAAGTAGAGTGTGCGGTTAGTCAAGTTCAAAGCTAACCGTGACAAGAATAGGGTGGATTTCCACTGACACGTTTTTGGCTCCGCACGTTAACGCACGTAAATTTTAATCACGTAAATCAAATAGAGGTAAGACATAAAGTATTGAGATTAAACGTCAAATTGGGCGAGTTTCTACTTTTACGCTTACATAATTGTACGTGCAGCCTTTCATACATTGCCTTTATTTTATTTGCGAACGCAAATTTTACGCACGTGCGCACGTAAAAATTACGTGACAGTGGATACTTCATATCTCAAGTATTTATGAAGTGCAAAACCACTTCACATCGTAACAACTGCGAAAATCTATCAATTAAATACATAAAACAAAGTGAATCTATTTAACCGTACATTTCCTGTCATTGCGACAATATTCTGAGAAACGTAACGCCTTCAAAAGCCACAAAATCCTGAGGATTTCCCCGCTATAATATTTTCTCATTCTGCTTGGGGATGTGCCTGCATGTCGTGCATAATTACACGAAAATCAAGGGCCTCCCTTCGAGGAAAATTACGTCATTGCCAAACTTACATGCGTAATTTCAGTCATCGCCGAAATAAACTGCATTCTCATCACGAGACTCATTCCCATACAATGAAAGTCGTTTCGATTCTTATCCCCAGTTTCCACGGTCTTCGCTAGGAACGCGGGGCCTACAAACTAGGTCCGACAAAAAAAAAAAAAAACGAGTGCATTTTAAGAGTCTCGCTTTTCTTAAGCAAGCGAGACTAAAAATTAGTTACTTTTATGCTGGTCTGACAAGAATTTTCCCAATCTAATAAGGATCACCACAGTGATCCAATCTACTGTTAGTCAGAATTACAGGTACACGTAAGCAGCCTGAAATTTAAGGAAACATATTCACTTTTTCTAATGTTTGCTTCATACCTTGGCCTATTTTCGAAGATAAGGGCTGTAGTGGAGCTTCCTGTAGTAGGTTTCTTTCTCAAAGAAGGGAACTTGGGTTTGAAGTTTGGAGCAGTTGCAGATGGTTTGTCACCAAAAGACTTGCGCGTCACGTCTCCTGCAAAAAACAATAAAAACAATCTTTATAATAAATATCATCATCAAACTCAACCACAAACCCAGTGATTAAAAGGCTAAACAAGGGGCTGATTTTCATTTACTTCAATCTCTACAAAGGACAAAGCATTTTTGGTACTAACCTAGGATCACAGTTCTGGAAAGGGCCTTAAGTTATGTCTAAGACACTAACAATGGTTAAGTTATGTCTAAGACACTAACAATGGAATCAGAGTCAGAGACCAGTAATTGGAGTCATAACAACACTTATGACCTGGAGAAAAAGTTGCAATTGGATTTGCAAGTACATGTAGGGGTACGATTTTAATAATCAGAGGCAGATGTACATGTAACCTGTGATCAGGCATTCCCTTTTTTTTTCCGAGAAGAGAGGGAAAATGAACGCTTTATATACTTTTATCTTGAGCCGTCAGAAGGAACAGATCCTTTTTTATATGTGATCTGACAAATAAAAATAATGTATCATGCCCTCTTCCTGCCATGAGATAAAAACATAGAAGGAGCTAAGGAAGCACAAATATCAGGCTAAGGGAGGAGACGAAGAATAAAACATATCATAGTAATCATTTCCAAATGTTGTGAGTGTTTTTGCTTGTGACTCCAGTCCAGTGATCACACTCAACCAAGCAGAATACTATTCTCACTAGAGAATAACATTATCCAACTCCAACTCAATCACCAGCGAAAACTAAATGTACACCTATGCCTTAAAGTTTGTAGTGAGCTTTTCCAGAAGACAAAATAAGTTTTTTTAAGCATTCTTACAAGTACATACATGCACATGCAAGTAAATTAATGAAATGCACCATAAGTCTCTACAGATACATGTAATTGATGGACAGTTTTAACCATCTAGGGTTACCTCTATCAAAAGAGGATGCTTGATAGTGAGGTTCACTGCCGTTATCCCTGACATCTTTCGCTGGGACCTTGCCAAATAACTTCCAGCCCTGAACAGGCTCCTTTTGAGATGATCTTGAAAACAGGCCTCTACAGACACAACCATGGAAGCACAAAATTATTATTATAGTAACATACACTGTAAGTGAAATGAGGATAAGGTGCACTGTTCAACACCTTTTCAGAGTCTCCTAACATCAGATATAAAGACTAACTACATGTACGTGTAATTAGGAAAAAATCCTATCCTATGGCCATTCAAATGAAAGTTCTTTTTTCAGCAGGTCTTTGATGATGGGGGTCAAGGGGGGTGAGGCCTCATCAGGAGTTCACGAACAACAATTTTGCATTTCATGAGTCATGAAACAAATATTTATGTTTTCACATTTCTCAAAAATAGAGGTCATACAAAATGTCAAAAACATTGTGTTAGTCCCATTTTGTAAAACAGAGTGCTTTGATTACATTTCTAGAGTTTTAAGAACCAATAAATTCCCAAGGGAAGCCAGCTGTAGGTGAGTCTGAGTGCACTGAAGTGTGAAGTTACATCAAAAGACTCAAAGTGAAGTTTAATCAAGCCACCAGATGCATTTGTACTAGTCAAGGTCATTTGGCCAAATTAAAGATTGAATTTCTTCAATTGACCTTCAATGTAGGTGTACACAATCAAAGATTTTGGCAGTTCAGGTTTCACGGAGACCACTTCAATCACGAGTCATTCAACAGTTATTCAGTACATCACAATAATTGTGTCAAAAATAGTCGATCACAGCGTCCCAAAAATAAACTTGCCCCCCACCCCCTGCTCCCTTGATGTGTTACCCAAGAGGGGTTCTAGGTTCTACATAGTTAAAGTGACAGGCCAACAATTGAGGATTTCTTGTTTGAAATTTTCTATTATTGGTTTTTTGGATGCCTTAATTGAATAATTTTTGCAAAACTGAAATTCCTGATGCCATTTTTCTGGACTAGGTAGGTGGTGTCAGGGATGCCACCAAGGAATGGAGCCTGGGATTTCCTCTACATGTACTGTACGCATGAATCCCTCCTTCTTTCATGAGAGATATATACAAAGGAAAATAGAACCAAAAGAACTTCCCAGCAGTTTAACAGATTCCCAATTCTGCTACGCTGTAATTACATAATTTATATATACATGCACCCAGCAACTTGAAATCTCAGTGACAGCTCTTGTTGTGATGGAGGGGAGAGAGTGACAAAATTTTTTCACTTTCAGTTTCATTGTACAAGCTTAAATTCCTTTCTGAAATAATTTTACGGTATGTGTCTACCCTAAAAAAAGAAAGAAAGAGAGAAAGAAATAATAAAGCGTATCCTTACTTCAGTTTACTTTGCTTTTGTGAACTACTGCCATCTACGTCAGTTCCAGTTTTTGCATTAGGGCTGGGTGCATAAGTGTTTGAGGATTTAGGAATCCATGCAGCAACTGATTCATCCAAAGAGAGTCTAGACATTTCTTCGTACAATTCGGGGCTAAATCGCGAGTTATTGAGTGGTATTTCTTCCAACTCATCATCTCTGACAGTGGAGCTAATTCCACTGTCTTCAGTACAACTAGTAACAGAAGAGCACGCACTAAATTCAACGTCACTAATAGGCGAGTCAGACGATTGTCCGCCTTCCTTGTCGCGTTTGCCTTTAAGTGAATTTTCACCACCACTTGCCCATTTAACAAAGTTTTTATCAAGCAAATCGTCCGACGAGTTAGCTTTGCGAGCAACAAGTGGAAACACCTCATCGCTGTCAGACTCGAGAGAAGGATCCCTGCGATGATTTGAACCAAGGAGATCTTCAGAAGAACCACTGGCTGACGAACTGTGTATCTTTTTTGCTGGGGGAAATTCATTAGAAACGCTGGATGGTTTCGAAAATTCCGGGGGTAACCCGGAAACACTGGTTAAGTTCTCATTAGTTTTCTCATGTGTCCCAATCATCGTATGATTTCCGTTAAATTCCTCTTCTCCAGAATTAATGTCCCGTGTTTTAACAAAGTCCTCTGGTATTGGCTTATCGGAGAAACTCGAAGCAGTTTTTGAAACATCAAAGCTCACAACTTGGGCGTCTGGAGTTTCCACATCATCTGATAAATTTGAGTTTGTTAGTAACGATTCATGGCAGTGAAGATCATTTGGAGGATCTTTTCTTTCCTCTGATTCACTGGCGTTTTCCTCCATTATTTTCGAGACAACCTCATAATTCTTTGCGGAGCTCAACATCGTTGAAATATTCCTATCGTGAGTTGCGGAACACGCCGGAGTAAAATTCGACGGCTCGATCCTAAAATTTATCGGAAATTCTAATTGTTTTCCGTTTTGTTCTCCATAGCTTTTCTTGAAACAGTGACGGATGCTGTAAATCTATCCCTATATTAGAAATAGATCCCTTGCGTATAAAATGCAGAGAGACCTTATAGTAATTACCATGACGAGGTGTCACGATTCATCGCCCGCCATTTTGTTTACTCCACGCTCCAATATAACCCTCATTGAGTCCCATCATGCAAAGCTCTTCGAGAGGTTTCCGTCCTTTTCGGAAATCCTCGTTGGGTTGTCGATAGTAAGTCGGGAAAAAATGGCGGGTTGATCGAATCGAAACTGCGAATCACTGGTTTTTCAACAGCTGATAATGCAAGAAGATAGCCCAGGTAGACAAGATCAAGATAAGCGGGTGAGAAATGAGCGTTACAATACGCCAACAAAGCCGAAGCGGCTATCGGTGTCAACTGCGCGGCACAAGGCCAAAGAGTTCGCTGCCAAAGACGACAAGTCCACACGGGTCTTGGCAAAACAAGCTATATTAAAAGAACTAAATACTCAGTTG